AGTCTCTTTTGATATATACTCCGATAATCATCACTACAGATGGGATTAATCTTTTTTACAGCCCAAGGAGAATGAGACAAACCTCTTGGAGATCTAAAATAAGTAAGTAAATATATATGTATGTATATATTAATAAAAAATAGTATTAGAATGAATAAAGACCCACAACACATTTTCAAATATTAAATTTTGAAAGACTTGACTTGACAGTAATTGTTTTTAAAAAATATTTAAGGGACTGGGACTGTAGCTCAGAGGATGAGTATTTGCCTCCCATATGTCAGGCATTGGGTTTGATCCTCAGCATCACATAAAAATAAAATAAAGATATTGTGTCCACCTATAACTAAAAAAATAAAAATTAAAAAAATATATATTTAAAATATTTTAGACTATCAACACCTCTGCTACATTTCTCTTGCAACTAGAACATATGAGAAGATGAGAGAAATCTGTTGATGGAACAACAGAGATGGAATAAAAAAAGACAAGGATAGACTGTTATAAACTGTCTAAAATTATAAATATTTAAGATGGATATAAGTCTGTAACCCAGCAATCTGGGAGGATCCTTGGGAGGACCACAAGTTCAAGGCCAGCTTCAGCAATTTAGCAAGGGCCAAAGCAACTTAGTGAGACCCTGTCTCAAATAAAAACTAGAAAGGGCTGGGGATGTGGCTTAGTGGTAGAGTGCTCCTGGGTTCATTTCCTGGTACTACTACTACTAATAATAATAACAAAATATATGTATACACACACATTTTAAAATTGGAAACTACTATTTTCTATGTTTTCTCTTCTAGCATGTCATATAACCAAATGCTTATTAAACATATGAATCAGAGATGAGTTACAGAATGATAACATAATAAATATTAAACCTTAAGAAATTTAACTTAAAGAAGAGAAGTTAAACAAAAACACTTGGGGGGCTGGGGTTGTGGCTCAGTGGTAGAGTGCTCACCTAGCATGTGTGAGGCCCTGGGTTCGATCCTCAGCAAAAGGGAGGGTATGTAGCCAAACATGGAAGTTTGTGAATAGGCCCAAGTATATTTACACTATTACACCTGTTATCACAGTTTATCAGGAGGCTGAAACAGGTGATGCCCAAGCTCCAGGCCAGCCTGGGCAACTTACCAAGACCCTGTCTCAAAAAATAAAAAGGGCCTGGGAAATAGCACAGGTAGAAGGGCCCTGTTCCATCCCCAGTACTGAAAATAAATTGTAGACTGAACCAAAGATATAGTTAGCTTTGTACTCTCACAGGCATAGCACTGCATTGCAGAACTTTGTTCAATGGAAAATCCTGTACTCAAAAGAATCATATTTTTAAATTCATATATATCTATTATCCATAAGTTTATCTAAATTGTTTTTAAACTTCTAGGTTTTGGGGGTTTTAGTTCGATTGTTTTTGTTTTGTTTTGTTTTGTTTTTGGTACCAGGGAATGAACCCAGGGACATTTTACCACTGAGCCACATTCCCAGCCCTTTTATATTTTATTTAGAGACAAGGTCTCACTGAGTTGCTTAGGGCCTTGTTAAGTTGCTGAGGCTGGCTTTGAACTTGCAATCCTCCTGCCTTGGCCTCCTAAGCCACTGGGAATGCAGGGATGTGCCACCATGCTCAGCTAAACTTAGTTTTAAATAACAGCAGCATTTGAGGGGAACCTCTTCCATATCATTTTATGGTTAAAAAAAGCTATTTCTCAAGTTTCAGTGTTACCCTCCTAGCTCTTGAATGTTTAGACTCTAGAGAGAAAGTCCATCCTCTCCTTTTCCATACCTACTCTGATCTACAGAATAACAAAAACAGATTTATAAAATTTGAATAAATACTTGGCTAAGCTAAAAGTTGATTCATTAAGAATAATAAAACTGATAAATTTCTGATGAGATTATACAAGGAAAAACAAAAGGTAGCATAAATAATACTTCAAATAAAAATGGGGACATGACTACAGGTATAGTAGAAAATTTTTAAAATAAATACTAAAACTTTTTGCCAATAACTTAAGACAAAATGGATGTTACTAGAAAAATCTAAGAAAACTGATTAAAGAAAAAAATTACTCAGTAGCTTAAAATCTTCCGACAAGAAATATGAAGCACAGATGATTCTATAAGTGAATTTACTAAACTCTCAAGAAACCTGCCATTCAATCTCATACAAACTATTCCCCAGAAAATGAAAAGTAAAAGGACTCTAAGTCTAATATAACTTTCCCTTTTAAAAAAAATCAAAGAGCAGAAAAAGGAAAATCACAACCAACTTCACTTATATATACTTATAGAACAAAAATTCCTAGCAAATATTAATAATCTATCAATTTATTTAATAATAATCAAAATACATTGGGTAGTTTAGGAATTCAAACTTGATTTAACATTTAAAAATATAAACTTCCTGATTAAAATAATAGCTTACACACATGTATATGCCAGGGATGGTACCACATGGTACCATGTGGTAAAAAAGTGACTCTAATCCCAGTGACTCTGGAGGCTGAGGCAGGAGGGTCACAAGTTTAAGGCCAGTCTCAGCAATACAGTGAGGCCCTAAGCAAGACCCTTTCTCAAAATAAAAAGGGCTGGGGATGAGGCTCAGTGGTTAAGCATCTCTGGGTTCAATCCCCAGTACCAACAAATAAATATATGGCAAATAGCTGTTTTAAGACATACCCACTTACAAATACCAGAAGAGGAGACCAGAGCAACTCAATTTCAGAAGCTAGAAAGTAACTGACTTAAAAGACCTAGTGAAGGGCTTGAAACATGATGTTCAAAGCAGGGGGATTCCCATACACCAGTCCCAGTTCCGTCCCACTGGACAGTCCCCAGCCCCTACTTCTCCTAGAGACCTGCTTTGGGAGGAGGTAAAACAGAGGGTCTTTAGCCTTTGGTTTACTAGCAGTTGAAAACATGAGACTCGGGTAGGAACAGAGTAGTAACTAATAACATAGGCATACTAAGTGCTCAGTGAGTTTTTACATGTGTATACATCTGTTATCGATATCCAAGATACAGAACACATCTACAACCTCAAAATACTTGCATGTTATTTTTAAGAAAGATAATGAAAATCAAGATTTAAAAAATGAAAAACTCAACTGAAACCTTGGAAGATAAAGTTGGGGAAATATCCCAGAAAACAGCAAAAAGACAAGATAACCAGATTAAAAAAAAAGAAGAAGAAGTAGGTTAGAAATCAGTCCAGTAAGTTCAATATCCAAATAATAGGATTTGAGGTAGAGAAGAGTGAAAAACAAGTTGGAAATCATCAACAAAGTAATTTTTTTAATTTAAAATATTTAAGAACAGTTAACTATCAAATTCCAAGCGGGGCACACCCAGACATGTAATTTGTCAAATTTCAGAACACTGGCAACCATCAGATCATACAGAGATCTGGAGAGTGGGGCTGGGTTTGTGGGTCAGTGGTAGAGTGCTTGTCTAGCATGTATGAGGCACTGGGTTCAGTTCTCAGAACCGCATAAAAATAAGTGAATAAAATAAAGGTCCATCAACATCTAAAAAAAATTTTTAAAAAAGATCTGGAGAGTGGGAGAGATAGATAACATAAAACAGATTACATGAAAAGGAATGAGCAATCAGAAAGGCTTCACAATTCTCAACAGTAACACTGTAAACTGAAATACAATAGTGGTGATAGAGATTCTCAAAATTCTGGAGGAAAATTATTTCCAAACAAGAAATGCTTCAGGAATACTCCACTGTACATAATTGCTAGAATATTCTTAATTCATTAGCTTCTTATTTTAGAAAGCATTTCTGTTTGGAAACAATACAAATCTAAGCAAATGAAGCTAAGATATCCTAAGAAAGATTGGACTAATCAGGCTGATTCCAAGAATTCATTAAGGAATACATATTAACTGATTATTCTGCTACTTAACAGACATGAAACTAAGAGTAATGATTAAAAGAAATAATTTTAGAAAACAAACCATCACCAGTGCCTGTAATCCCAGCAAATGAGGAGGCTGAGGCAGGAGGATCACAAGTTCAATATCTGCCTAGGCAACTTAGTGAGATCCTGCCTCAAAATTTTTAAAAAAGAAAAAAGAAAGAAAAAAATGCTGGGGATGTATGAGGTACAGCACCCTGTGGGTTTCAATCCCCAGTAACACACATACACACAAAACTGTTGACATATGTATTACTGGTAATTAGCACCATACTTATTCAATTACTTCGTTTCTAACACAATTTCCTACTTTAAAATCATGTATTTCCTCCTCTTAATAACAACGCCATAAGAAAGAAAGCCCTTTTGACTTCTTTTAGAAGGAAAGATCCTGAGAAGGCAACTCACCAGATAGAGGAAGTTATCAGTCACTATCATTTTCAAGCAATGGCTTCCTCTTTGAGGTTTACTTATTGAAAATCTTATGTTAATACTACAAAGAAATACCTTTCCTCTGTCACTTCTCCTTCTTATAGAAGCCAAGGAAAAATTAAAAGGTAAACTACTTCCTCTTAAATAATTCATCAGGAGTAAGCTACAAGAAAAGTATACCAGGCAAGAGCTGGAAGTTATTGCATTCTAGGGATTGGGATACAGCAGTCAGGCAGGACAAGAAACATAGCCTAAAGCCATATATTTGAATTTTCATATTCCTTTTTTGTTTCTGAGTTCCATATAAAACGGTTAACCTGAAATTTTATACTCACCTCTTCATTAGGTAAACATTTACCCCAGTCCCAAAGCCAAGCTTCTGCATAAATGGAGAGGCAGGGATAGTTACATATGGAGTTGAACATAACACTAAATGTTGGAAAAAGAAACAAAAATAGAATTAGTATGTGAAAAAGCTAATAAAAGCATCCTAATATTCTAAAAATATTGTCATTAAGACTATTAATTGGCATAATCTTTTTGGAGAGCAATTATAATTATCTATCCTAACCTTAAATGGATACCCTTTGACCATGCCTACATTAACCCTGAAGCAGACGTCAGTAAATTGTCTTGTGTTTCTATGATCCACAGACTAAGAATTTTTTCCAAATTTTTAAAGGGTTGTTAAAAAATAAAGAATATACAACAGAGTTCATGTGTGGCCCTCCAAGTCTAAACTATGTACTAACTGCCTTCTGAGAGAAGGGAAATAAATGAAATATAAATATATATATTTGAATATTGGTGTTTGCTGCTGCTTTTTTTTTTTTTTTTTTTTTGGCACTGATGATTGAACCCAAGGATGCTCCACCACTGAGCTATATCCCTAGCCCTTTTTATGTTTTATTTTGACATGGGGTCTCATGAGTTGTTAAGGCTGGCCTTGAACTCAGCAAAAAAAAAAAAAACCACAACCCTCAGTGATCACCATCAGAAGCCTAATTAACAATATACATTGCAGAGCATTATTGTCTTTAAAAAGATGTGATAAAGGAGTTCTACTTCTGCTCATGAACAATTACTGCTCTTGAAATGACCATCTCATCATGAACAACAGAACACCTGACACAATACAATGGATTTTACATGTGACGACAGGCAGAGGAGGTCTGCGTTCTCTGAGAGAAGAGAAAGAAATGAAGGGAGCCCTATATAACTGCCCTGATTTTATGCATAAAGACTGTTTCCAGGCTGCAACATAAAGGAAACACAGCCTGGCAGTCTTGTAAAACTATGGAGATAGAGATCAAAAAGACCTAGGCAACTGGAATTTGTAGAGCAGAGAACCAAAATGGAAGGAGCTAGAAGAAGAGAGTGCTCTGAAGATCTGGCAAGATCTCCCAGTGAGTACTTGGCTAAGTGCTCATCTGCAAACACAATGGGTAGTTGCATATGGAAAGCCAGGAAAGAATTGACTAATTACTAGAAATCCCACAATTCTAGGAATGAATTCACTTTACCATAAGTCAGAATGTAGTAATTCTAGTCACAACTTGGTAGCATAGCTACCTTTTAGCCCAACAAGAAAAATCTATTAAAAAACTTAAAAGCAAGTCTCAAAAGGAACAGACTAACATGCAGGTGAGTTAATTTTAGGCCTTAATGAAATCAAACAGTCTAAAAGAATAACAAAGTCCAGCACTAAAAGATGTGAAATATAAAAAATTAACAGCCATGAAAGAAGCAGGAAAATAGGTCTCCCAAATACGTCCCAAACCAGGGGAAAAATAAACCAATAAAAACATACCATCAAATGACAGGGATGGTGGAATTAATGACAAGAAATCTTAAACATATGTTAAAAATGCACTTAATGATGTAAAGAAAACTCAAAAGAATGAAAAATGTAAGAGATAAGAATAACCACCTTAGAGTCTAAGAAAGGTGAACAGAAACTGAAGATACAGCAACACACACTACCAAAAATGAAGCAGAGGAGAGCAAAAAAATCAGTGAGCTATGGAGCAATAGCAAAATAGATTTAAGTTCCATAATTTAAGTATAAATGGTCTAAACAGTATTATCCAATAAACCCTGCCACAAGAAAAATATTCTGTATTTATGCTGTTCAGTACAGAAGTCGCTACCCAAATGTGGTTACTTAGCACTAAAGAGTGTGGCTAATATAAATGAGAAACTAAATTGGTGATTTTATTTAATTATGATTAATCTGAATCCAAATTTTAAATAGCCCCATGTGGCTAGTGGTGAAATTGTCTAACTAAGGGTGGAAGTTGTCAGAATGGATAAAAACAAAACTATATAACATTATTATAAAATAAACTCACTTTTAAATATAAAAACACAAATAAAAGGTTGGAAAGCATATACCATTCAAACAATAATCAAAATAAAGCTGGATGGCTCTGTTATTATCACATAAAATGGGCTTCAAAACAGAGTAACACCTAGGATAAAGAAAGGCATTTTATAATAGTGAAGTGGAAAATTCATCAAAATAAATAACTATCCTAAATGTGTACTATAATGGTTAATTTGAATTGTCAACTTGATTGGAGTAAGAGATGCCAAAGATTAAGAGGATTGCAGATGTGTCAGTGAGGGTGTGTCTAGGAATGATGGGCATGTGGGATAGCCAACTGAAATGGATATCCTGCCTTAAGTGTGGGCAGCACTGACCAATAAGATGATGGCTTGAATGAAATAAAGTTTGAAGAACAAGGAAGCAGCCACAGATGCAAGCTCCAGTCTTCTAGAATGGGTTCTCGATTTCTGCTGCCATCATCAGAGGATATTGGACTCTTGCTTCTTCACTCTTCCAAAGCAGTCTCTGACAGTGATTCTCCGGAAGCCTTTGGTCTCAGACTAGGGTAACACCATTGATCTCTCTGGGTCTGAGGCTTCAGCCTCTTGGACTGCACAGCTACTGGTTCTTCCAGCTCTCCAGCAGATGGCCATTGTGGACTATCCAGCTTCTGGTTACTTAATCCAACCTAATAAGTCTCCCTTTTAGAATTATACTTCCTGTTGATTCTGCTCCTCTAGGGAACCCTGATTAATACATGTGTGTACTTAACAACAAAGCTTAAAAATACATGAACCAAAAACAAATAGAACTGAAGGGAGGAAAAACAGACAAATCCATAATTGTAGTTGGAGACTTCAATATTCCTCTCTCATTAATTAAGACTAAATACAGAAAAAAATCAATAGGGATATAAAAGACCTGAATAAAACATAACATTTCATCCAGATTGACCTAAATGACATGAATAGAACACTGCATTCAGCAACAGGTGCAGCATTCACCCAGATAGATGAAACTCAAGTCCAGCTGATTAAGGCAAAAAAGAAAAAATATATAAAATACCAGCATCAGAAACCAAAAAGGGCAGAAGGGTAATCAGTGTATCACTAATAACTTTATGCCAATAATCTGACCATTTAGAAGTAACAAATTCCTTGAAAAACGCTAATAAAGCTCATAAAGGAAAAAACAGATTATTTGACTAGCACTATATATAATTTTACCCCAGGAATGAAATGCTGATTTAACAATAGAAAATTAATGTAATTTGCCACATATAATGCATTGCAAGCAAGGCAGATATGTCCACTAACACTTTTTTGTTAATTCAGTACTGGGGATTGAATCCAAGGGCACTCTATCACTGAGGTATATCTCTAATCTTTTTTATACTTTGAGACAAGGTATTGTGAAATGATAAGGCTGGCCTCAAATCTTCCTGCCTCAGCCTCCCAATTAGCTAGGATTGCAGGCTTGTGTCACTGTTTCTGGTTGATTTTAATCTTTATGACCTGAGTTAAGAGTCAAGGTTCATTATTTGCATATAGAGATCCAATTGTTGAAAAGATTTCCCTCTGCCCATTCTTTCCCTCATAAGGACATGTAAGGAAGGGAGAAAGGTAAAGCAATTCCTTAATGGTTTAAGCTAAATTGATTCTTCACCAGCCAAAACCTCGATAGCTGTTAGAATGTTAATAAATTAGTCCATAGATAACCAAACCATGTTCTATTAAATAAGTCTTATTAACATTATAAACGAGACATGGCTAGAAACGTGCATGAAAGATAGTAAAAGAACAAACTAAAACAATACTAAGACATTTCTAGTAGCAATAACAATGAAGAAACATCTCATTACATCTGCAATCTTACCAGATTTCCTTTTTTCAGATAATTTGCTTGGTGTCTTGAAATTATCAGTTCCTTCCATTGTAACAACCTCTCTAGGTCCTATGATAAAAATGTTACACTGCAGTTAAAAAGAGTACAACTTTCATTGATGTAGAAAAATTCCTGTAACATCACTCATTTTATAATATGAACATAAAATCTGAAAACTAAAAAAGACATCAACAAATATTTAGTCCAATTTTATTTACAATAAGTAAACTGAAAGCCAAAGGTACACTTGTTACCTGTGTTCACACTATTGGTATTGTGTGTGTGTGATGGGGGGGTATTTGTTAATCATAAAATATAAGAACTTGATTAAAGAAACTAATAATGCACTTGATTAAAGAGAACATTAGTTCAAAAAGGTAAAAAGTATGTCTTCCTCTTACATGTCCCAAGTTGTAAACAGTTATCCCATCCAGGAAAACTGTCTATGCAAACAATATTCTTCATAATAGCCACATAGATGATGAATATATAAAAGTGATATATGCACACAAAGGAATATTACTCAGTCATAAAAACAAATAAAGCACTGATATATGCAATATAAATGAACCTTGAAAATATCATGCTTGGGGCTGGGTTTGTGGCTCAGTGGTAGAGCGTGCACCTTGCACATGTGAGGCACTGGGTTCAATCCTCAGCACCACATAAAAATAAATTAAAAAAAATATTTAAAAACAATCATGCTAAGTGAAAGAAAGTGCACACAAAAGGCCACATATTTGGACATGATGATCCCACGCACAGAAAATATCCTGATTTCCCGATGAGCAGACTGTGGTTAAAAATAAGTGAGCACCTGGAGAAAATAGGAGCACCAGAAATAGAGAATAAAAGCTCACCTTTACATGCCACACTCGACAACTAGGTGAAAATGTGAAATATATGGACATATTTGTATACATAGGATATATACCTGGAATCCAATAGCTGAAGACAAAAAAAATTTATGGGATACCAGCACAGAGGTGGCACTAAAGGCAAGAGAGTAGGTGAGACCACCCAGGATATCAGTGTAAGAAAAGGCCACCGGTGCAGGCCGTGGCAAGTCGAGTGACCCGGGAAGTCTCACTGCCAAATAAAAACCACTTGATTTAAATACAAACAATTTCACATTTCATTATTTTCTTGAGACACAGGAGAACTCAGTCACACCCTCCGTACTGAAGGCTATTTGCACCTAAATATACTGTGTCTCCTCCATTCACAGTTGTCTGACTAATCCCTGCGGCTCGGGAGGCTGAGGCAGGAGGATCGCGAGTTCAAAGCCAGCCTCAGCAAAAGCCAGGCCCTAAGCAACTCGGTGAGACCCTGTCTCTAAATAAATCACAAAATAGGGCTGGGGATGGGGCTCAGGGTTCGAGCGCCCTGAGTTCATCCCACCCCCCAAAACCCACTGTGGCTTTTAGAAGGCGACACAGGAGACGGCGGTGCCGGGCCGCGGCGGAAGGCGAACTCGGTGGAGTGCTGTGAAGGAGCTGCGCCGGGAAGTCCCCAGGGCCGGACGCCCGCACCCGTGGGCCCCGCACGGCTGCCGCGCACCGCCCGCCCAGCTCGGCCGAGGGGGCAGCAGGAGGGGGAGAGGAGGGAATGGGAGAGGGACTGGCGGTCTCGAGAACAGACGCGAAGAGAAGGAAGGGGGCGGGAGGCAGCCGGGGTGCGGGCACCTGCGGGCGTCGGCCTGGCTCCCCGCGAGGGGTCCGGGCCCCCGCAGACCCGCCGCCCCGCAGCAGCCGCGCCCACGGCCCTTCCCGCCATCGCGGCCGCCCCGCGCGCTCACGCAGCGCAGTGGAGGAAGAAGGCGCCCGCCCCGCAGCCGAGCAGCGCTTACCGGGTAAGGACCGCGGCGGACGCGCAGGTGGCTCCCCTCGGCCGGACCGGGAACTGCCGTTGCGCCTGGACCGCTCGCCACTTTGAAAAGGCCGCGCGCGGCCCCGAGCTACGGAGGGCGCGAGGGACAAAAGGCGCCGGCCTCGCCCGTCCCCGCCTGGCGCCCTTTGGGTGCGCTTCCTGGTGGGACCGACAGCGGAACGGGAGGAAGGGAAACGCAGGAAAGGGCAGACTGATGTGAAGCCACTGTCCTTAAGTGTTTGGAAGGTTGCAGCTGTTCCTCAATCGCAAACGTTACGTCTAGACTCAGAGTAAAAGCCATTTTGGGCTGAGAATAAAAATAAATATTTAGTACTTCTGCTGACTCTTGTGATGACCAGGTTCAGTTCAGCATTCACTCATGTATTCAGCATGTGTCTACCCAGGTACTCACTATGGGCCCGGTGTGCACTGACTCTCCATTCCTAGGGTGATTCGTGGTTGTCACTACAAGACAGAAAGATGGTGAACTCACAGAATTCTCCCCGTCCTGGAAGGGGTTAAAGTCTATGAGGGTGAAGATGGGAAGTGTCCTAAGAACACACACACACACACACACACACACACACACACACACACACACATGCCATATTACAGAAGAGGTTAGAGTCCTTTTGTAAGGGGAGACCAGTGTGCTCCATGTTCAAAAGAGTATGACCTCTTCAGAAATCAACTCACTTGAGGTCTAGAAAGAGGATTGCTTGTTTCCTAAGATTTTATCACATAGTGACAAGACATGTATTTATTCGTGTGCTTGTGTACATTTGAACACATGCATGCACACACACTACTTTTTTACTTCTGACCTTCAGAAAGTTCCCCAGTCCACTTTGAGGCATGTTTTATAATTATAGATAGACCATTCTATCTGTAAGTGGGTGAGAGCCTGTAAGAAACAGATGCTCTTCATGTACCTTCATCTGAAGGTGACTGGAGACAGGTGGGGTGTGGCTGGAGGAGGTGGGGGCATTGGAAGTGGCTTTGGGGTATATATTTGTGTCTGGTGAGTCAAGTCTCTTCTCTCCCCACCCTACCCCCTCCTCCTCCTCCCCTGTTCTCCCCCCACCTCTCTCCCCCCTTTCTGATCATCATATGAGCTGCTTCCCTTTTCCACACTCTTCTGTCATGATGTCCTGCCTCACCTTGAGCCCCAAGGAATGGAGCCTGCTGTCAGTGGACTGAGACCTCTGAAAGTGTGAGCCCTCAAATAAACTTTTCCTCCTCTACAGATGTGCTGGTTGGGTCATTTAGTCACAGATTGAAAAGCTCTATTTGAAAACAAATCACAGTAAATTCACGTCATAGCCTTTCATCAGGCAGGTCACTGGATACTTGTGGGCCGCCTGGTCATCATAAGCTGGGCAAACACGAGGTCCTTGATTCTAATCTCAATTTTTAATATCTGTGACACTCAAGTCACACATACTCCAAATAATGAGATACAAATAGGTCACAGAAAGTCAAAGCAGCCACAGGGTTTCAGGATGCTGTGTCCAAGAGCACAGGCAGAGAGAGATGTGGAGGAAGAGTCAGAGTCACTGTGGGCGGTCAGATAAGGACCTGAACCTACAGAGTTGCCAAAGCAGAGTGTCCAGATGAGCAGCAGTTTCTGTTTCAGAGCGTCCACTCAGGTTTAAGCTGGGAGTTGGCCTTGTGTGGTCGTCACAGGCGGGAGAACCGCATTTTGCTGAAGCCCAGTGGAGACGGGAAATTGGAAGTTCATCACTGCGTCAACTTTCACAGGCGAAGCCCATGATGAGGGACCTGATGACAAGGTCAAGGTACTGCAACTGGACTTGAAAATCAGACTCGGGTCCTTGTTTCCCCAGTGTTGAAGATTAAAACCCAAGACATACTCAGGCAAGAAAACAAGTTTTATTTAAAGCATGTGAGAGAGAGAGAGAGAGAGAGAGAGAGAGAGAGA